TTTGCCCCTTCCGGGGTTTTTCTGCTGTTGGGCGACGTTTTTCGCCCATCCAGTCTGCTAACTTCCCACATTTGCTGGCGTGTTTTTGTGTATTTAGCGTCAGTCACAGCCCCTGCTGGCGGCCATTTTCGTCTGCCGGTTTCACGGCGTGGCCACCAGGGCGGAGTTGCGGTTTGTTTACATGCGTCTGGGTGTGCGAGCGAGCGTCTCTGGTGAGTTTTCAATTTTTTTACAGGGTTTTTGTTCTCCTGTTGTCGTTTCTTTGTTTTTCTGGTGTTTTCTTGCCGTTGCCTGTTCCTCTGGGAACGTTTGGGTGTTGATTTTGGGTCTGAGCCTATGGGTTTAGGCTCAGTGCCCCTGGCTGGTATGCTTGCTCCCACACCTTGCCCCTCGGTTTTCGGTCTGTTGGGACCGTTTTCCCAGGGCGTTCTGCTGGGGGCTGTGCTTTGCCTTTCAGTGGTGTTCTCCGCCGGCAAATGTGGTGGTTTGGGCTCCCCCTGGTTCGATTCTGGGTTCCTTTGGGTTCCTTGGTTTCGTTCTGGAGGTTTCTTCCTCTTGGGCCCCCTTTTGTGGGTTCAGGGGACTTTGTTTCCTCGTGTGACCCGGTTCTGCCTTTTGGGGTTCCGGGGTCTTCCTGGCTTGCAGACTGATCTTTTTGGGTCTTGGCACATGTTGTGGTTGTGCTGGGACTTTGTGGTTTTGCTGTCGAGGTGGGCCTTTTGATGCAGTTTTGTGCCTTCTTTGCCTGGCCGGCGTAGTGCTCTCTGCCACTAGTCGGCGACTTGTGCTTTTACAATATATGTCCTCACCTAGTTGTGCTTGTGGGGGTTGAGCTCTGGCTCCTTGGTCCTGCCTCTCAACCGTCTATCAACAGGTGTATAGGTTCCTGTGCCTCTTGGGATCTATCATGTCTACATGTGACATTGTATGGGGGTCAGCCTCGTTACTTGTGTGTGGAGTCACCACATTACTTCCTAGTGCTTTCCCGTCCCATTCTGACACTAAAAAAAAAAAAAAAAAAAAAAAAAAAATTAATTCGATCTGTGGCTCTTTTGGGTACTCAGTTTCCACCTGTGTCCCCTAGTGCATGTGCCCCTTGTGTTACATAGCCTGTCCTTATCAACCCTGTTGATTCCCTTGGGTATCTTGAATGTGGTGATCAGGTCTCCCCTCACTTCATCTTCCGCCGAAGTGTGGTTTCATTCCCGTAGTCTCTCCTCATGACTTCGGTAGTGTACTTTTTCTTTCGGAAGGGGTTCTGTTCCCTTCTCTGTTGACTGGGCGCTGGGGGAGCAGCTTGCTCTGTTGCCTCTCGCTTGGTCCCGCTGTTGGTGGGCGCTTTGGGTTGTCTTCCGGCCTCTGCTGGCGTCGGAGGACGGCTTCTCCCCCTTGGGGGGGGTTCAGAGCTGGCGGGGTGGGCTTCTTCCCCTGCGCTTCGTCATTTCCTCTTCGTGGGTGTGTGGGGCGTGGTCGATCCGCCCCATCCTTCTGGGCTTCCCGTCTGCTCTTTGCAGTCATGAGCTTTTCCCGTCTGCAGTTCTTCTGGACTTCTTCAGTCTGCGCCCTGGATCCTCTGCCCTCCTCGGAGGACTGTTGTCTCCTGTTCGGATTCTGTTAGGGCCGGGTGCATGGATGGTGGCCCTGGTCCTCCAGGTCACTTCTTGGCATGTTACTCTCCGGTTTTTCTGGGGCTAGCACGGTTGGTGGTGGGGCTTCAGGTTTTTATTGCCTTCCTATTTTGTCATGGGCACTTCGTATACTCTTTGCATCTTTACCGGATCTTAGTGCCCTGTCTGAGTCTGAGATTCGGTGTCTGGCCTACCTCGACGACTGGCTGGTGTGGGCTCCCAGTCAGTCCGCTTGTCTGCTCGCCAGGGGATGGTTCTTTCCAGATCGCCGGGTTTGGTTTCCTGGTGATCTGGAGGTTTTTCCATCTGTTTCCGTCCCGGGTTCGGACCTGGGCCTTGTTTAAGGCTCTTGGGCCCCTCATTGTCTTCCCTCCAGAAGTGTTACTGCGGCTGTGGTCCCGCCTTTGGCTGTTCAGGAGGGGGTCCCGGGTTGCTCAGCGGTTGCTTGGGCGGTTGTGCGGGAGTCTGCACTTCGGCGTGCTTGTCTGCCCGCAGAGTCGGGTTTGGCTACGGCGTCGGTTGGTTCCTGCGGTGACTCCCCTTCCGCCTCTTGCATTCCTTGGGTTCCTCCGGGGATCTTGTGTTGGTGCTGCGTCACCAGCTTCCTCTTTGGGGTTTTCGGGGTTCCGTGCCTTGGCACCTCCCCGAGCCTTCGCTCGATGTGTTCACGGACGGGTCGTCTCTCGGCTGGGGCTTTGTGACCAGTGCTCTCCAGGTCGGCCGAGGTTGATGGAGTCTCTGTCCGTCGGGCTCACAGCACGGTTCGGGTGTTCATGGCTGTCTGGTTTGCGCTTCGGAGGGTTTGGGTCACTAGGTACTGTACCATTCAGCTCTGTTTGGACTGTTCTCTGGTGGTTCTTGCCGGAACCACAGGGGTTTGGCTAACCGTGTGGTTCATGTCCGGGGTGTGTCCTGCGTCCTGGCGGACAGCTGTCTCGGTTCATTCCTCTTCGTAGGTTGGCCAGTCGTCGCCGATTCGTTTTGTTGGCTCTGTTGGGCATATGGACTCCTGGCCATGGACGTCTTCGGGTCGGCGTGGTCTAGGCGTCGCCCATTTTGTGGCGCCCTTCCCACCTGCGAGGACTTCACGGTGGAGGCTTTCGGCAGGACTGGTCGAGGTGGGGGTACCTGTTCCTCTAATCCCGGTCCAGCTGTTGCTTCGGGTTCTGGCTCGGTTGCAGCCCATTCCCACGAGAACAGTCCTTATGGTTCCTTGGTGGCCGGCCCGGCCTTCTTTTCAGACGCTGCTTGCTAGGTGTCCGTACCCGGGGCGTTTTTCCTAAGGGCTTCGCCTCTTTCAGCAGGCCGAATCGGTCCTGTCCGTGACTGGTTCGGCCTTCTCCTTGGCTCTTCGCGTCTGGTATTTTGACGCGGGTATCACCATCTCTATGGTGTTCAGGTGGCTTTGTTGACGGTGTCCCACCTGCGAGCTTCGTCTTGGAGACAGTATGACGTTTCTTACGTTTTCTCGTGTTTTGTTTCCCTTCCGGCCTGCTCATGCGTCGCCTGAGCCATCCTGGTCCTTGTTCAGGGTGCCTTCTTATCTTCCCCTCAGTTTGTGGTAGCCCCTTCGGTTCAGTTTCCTGCTCTTTGGTACTGGTGGTAGCTTTATAGGTGTGCAGCCTTTCTCTGTCCTGGCGCCGGTCGTGACGGCTGCTTTCCGGAGGGGTTCTTGGGGTATTGGTGCTTGATTGGTTTGGCCGGGGGGTGCGTCCTGTGTTGTCCGGTTGTGCTTTTTGCTGTTGCCGGCGTACTGTGTCTGGGGATGCGCTGTGGTTGATCCGGTTCCTTCGTTCCCTGTTTTCAGGGCTCGGGTCTCCCAGGTCGTCCGCAGTGTTTTCCTTCTTCCAGCCTGTGGTCTGTCTTTGCGCCCGTGCTGTTCAGATGTTTGCAGCTTTTGCTGCTGTGTTGGTGACGTCTCGGGCTCATTTCGTGCGCAGGGATTTGTGGGTCGCACAGGTTTTTGGCCGCCCATCCATATGTGCGTCTGTTCTTGGGCGTTCTTGTTGCCTTGGGTCGCAGGTTTGCGACCGGTTGTCTTGGCTTTGCGTTGCAGAGTTTGTGGCGGCCGCCTCCCGGGTTAGCCCTTTCTTTTCCTTCTCTTTGGGTATGAAGCTCCAGGGAGCCGTAGGGGCTCCCCACAGAAAACCAGCGTTGAATGTAATGAAACGCCATTTTCTGGGTGAGCCCCGGAGGCTCCCTGGAAACCCTCCCTCCCACCGGTCGGCGGTTTTTTCACGTTGGTTGAAGCTTAGCTTCCGAACTGGAGCTTGGCAGCCGGCGCGGTAGGTCCGGGGCTCCCCCCTCCCCCTCCCGGGGTGGGGAGGGCTGCGCGGACGATCGGCGCGGCAGTAAAGTGTGATGTTTGCTTGTTTGCTAGTTTCCTTGGGATTGTAGGGAGTTTTCTACCTCTCTGTTCGGTTTTTGTTGTAGTTTCTTACCATGTGGGGTTTGTTTTGTTACGCCTACCTTTCTGGGTGCCTAACCCCGGTCGATGGCAGATAAGGAAAACCCCCAACCATATGGGGTTTTCCAGGGCCATTGCTCCCTGAAACCTCTCTGAAGGGGCCAGGTTCTGGCGCTGGTCCCTGGTAGGTCTGAACTCCTTAGCTAATGTCCCGGTCTAACATAACATACATTAGCCCGATAAGCTCCAGGGAGCCTCCGGGGCTCACCCAGAAAATGGCGTTTCATTACATGCAACGCTGGTTTTTTGGGGTGTGTGGAACAGATTAATTCAGTTTACATTGTTTCTAATGGGAAAATTCGTTTTGGTTTACAAACCGTCTCTGGGAACAGATTAAATTCGTAAACGGAGGTACCACTATACTTTAAATGTAAAGTGCTCATATGCCATTGCTCCTTGCGGGGACCAGGTCCTGGCTCGTGGTCCCCTGTAGACCTAAGAGCTCCTTGTGACTGATGGCCCCAAACTAATATAGCGCATACCAGTTCGGATAGCTTTAGGGACCCTCCTGAGCTGCCCCCAGAAAAGGGCGTTTTATTATTTTCAAAGCTGACATTAGGCTGTAAGTATGCACTGCCTTGAGCAGGGCGGCGCATACTTTTGTTGGGTACTGTACATTATAAAGGAGTGTTGGCAGTGTTCCTGCTACTAACCTAAAATTGGATGTTACTTTACTGTCATGAACTTATGTCTACTATAGGCTTGCATTTTGTAAACAAAGGATTTATGTATGAAGGAGAAAATGAAGAGTTTGGAATGGGTAAGGGGATGTATTTCTTATGCACCTATAGAAAATATTGTGTGTAGAATTGTACATATAAGTGTGCAAGTGTTAAAGATGATATAAAATATTTGTCATTTGTTTTAATTGTAAAAGCTTTTAATGTTGTACTTTTTTTCTTTAGGAGTCAATCAACCAGCAAACTGGGATCTTTCATTAGCAGTCAGATTCATCACTTGCTGCCTGCTCTAGCAGTTCGAGCAGCACAGGAATCCAGACCTGGACTTCTGCAGGAGCTTGCAGCTTGTCTTGGAGTTCGCCTTCGAGACATTCTAATTGACCATTTTCAGGTGCTGTTGCTATGTCATTATTTTGCATACTTTATCGTTAGTTTCTCTAAATGTTCATTTATACCCAAAGACATCATCTCTGTGTGGAATTTCCAATAAGTTTGGCTGATGGTAATAACAATGTTTTGCAGTCATCACTAGCTCTGCCTGTTGTTTGTTCTCTTACTTAGACTTCCAGTGTCAAAATGCTTCATCTGTGATCTCTTCATTTCTTAACTTGTAGTCCTATTTACCCATTACACTAAAACTTGTCTTTCATAGTTATGCTCATAATTGTAATGAACTTAAGCATAATACATCAAGAACCAATTAGAATAGTAAACTACACTGCTATCAACAAAGCAGTGTAGTTTACTATTCACGACTGTGAATGTTAACTTCACAACTATCAACTTACCCCAAAAATCCTTCCCTGCCATAACTCTGTGACTAAACTCATCCTAGAAATTTCTGAAAATAAAAAAAAAATAGTATTAGAAAAACTTTATTAGTATGGTAGTATTACTATAATAAATTTTCTGAGGGGAGCCCCTTCGGCTCCCCGAAGCTTACTAGGCTGATATGCTAATGTCAGACTTAGGCATCAGTCATGTGTATGGAGTTTTGTGGGCCTACCAGGGACCACGATCCAGAACCTGGCCCCCTCAGAGAGGCATGGGGGAGCAATGGCATATAGAAACCCCTGTGTGGTTGGAAGCATTTTATGTCTGCTATCGACCGGATTAGGCACCCAGAAAGGTAAGCATCCCAAAACAAACACCTATTCTGGTGAAAATATTGCAACCAAAAGCTGAACACATGGATAGAACTCCCCTAAAAGAAACGAGAAAACGAGCATGACATCACACGTAGCCGTGCCGCTGTCTGTGCAGCTCCCTCCTCCTCGAGAGGGGGAAGGGGAAGACCCAGCCCCCCCCACACTGGCTACCCACGGTCAGTTCTCAGGCTGATGCTAGAGGCAGAAGTCGTGTGCTTGGCTCCAGTTTTTCCAGCACTGTACTTTATGTGTGGTGGTTGTCTTCCAGGGGTGCTAGAGCCAGGAGTTATTCTCCAGTACTCGGGCTGCATGCGCCTAGGGTTCTCGTTCCTAGGTGCCCTGTAAGTACTGCCCTCGGAGCTTGGGGTTCCCTTCCACAAGTTCCTCGGGGTCTGCCTCTGCTAGGCCGTATATCTGCTTGGTTTTCGGCTGCCCTTTTGGTGCCTAGGGGTTTTGTCTTCCTGGTTTACCTTAGGGTAAGAGGCAGCTGCACTGGTGGGGCGCAGGGTACTGCGCGGCTTGTTTTCATCACTTACAACGGTCGGCTCTGTTCCTTGGGGTATGTTGTCCTCTTGTGGGGTTTTGTTTTTCTTTGTGTTTTTGTCTTGTTGGGGGGTCTGCCTTGCTTTCCCGTTGTTTAGTGCCTGACCTGTGCACGGTTCTCTTCTGGTGGTGCTCCTTGCCAGGTCCCAGTGAGTGTACACATCCCTGGGATTCAGCTTTAGACAGTTGTTTGGTAGTTTTGGGTGCCGGTTAGCAGTACCCTGAATGGGATTACCTAGGCGTGAGTTTTCATTGAGCGTTCAGGACCCTGGAAATCCCCTAGGGGGCGTGTGGGTCCGATGGATGTGTCCCCGGAGGCCCCCTCGCTTTGGGCGAGTTCGAGGGTTGCTCAGTCCCCATGACTCAGGGTGACCCTCGCGGTTTTTGCCTCCGTCACGCTGCCTGTTGGTTCGGTGACACCTTCGACCTGGAGTCATGCGAGTTGTGTTGCTTGCTAGTGACTCAGTTTACCCAATCTCCTGATGATGTTCTACGGGTACAGGCAGTGCAGGCATTGCATGTGTGCTTTAGGTTATTGCAGCGCGCTAGGTTGGTTGCTCACCCGGATGCCCCGAGGCTGCCCCGTTTTGCTTATAAGGACCCGGACTTGGAGTTGGGGGATCGCTTCGACCTTGGTTCAGTCTGCAACCCCCTCATCCTTCCCCTGCTGTGGTGCATCCTGGTCCCTCTCCCCATCCCCCCTGCTTCCAGCCCCGAAGCGTCTGAGGGTTTCGGGGTCGGGGAAGGGTTTAGATGGTCTTGAGTCTCGGGCAGTCTCAGGGGATGCCCCTTCCGGTGTGGCGACGGAGGCATTCGAGTCCTCTCTCCCTGCCGAAACCTCTGGGTCTGACCAGTGGGCCCCCTTCTGTTCGGCTTCTCCAAGGCTCTTTTTCTGTTGGCATTGGTCTCTGGGGATCTGGTTAGGGAACTTCATGCTCTCGTCCGGCGCAGGGGTTTCTGCTCCTTCGGTCTTCGTGATGGTTTTTTCCTTTGCTGCCATCTCCTTCTTTTCTGGTGAAGAATGAGACTTTTTCTTCAGGGGCAGGTGCTCTGGGGGGATGACTCGACCCTGGGTCCCGAGGAGGAGATTCTTGGGGCTGGGGAAGGGCTGACTTAGGGGCCTTGTGACCCGACCTTGCAGGGCTTATTGTTACAAGGAGTGGGGTTCTCTTTTCCCCCTCTGCGTACGAGTTGGATTTGGCCGAGGGAACACCCGCATTCCCTAGGGTGCGTTGGTACTGTCTTTCCGAAAGTTTATGGATTACCGCACCCGTGTTCCCTCGGGTGCATCGGTTCTGTCTTTCCGGAAGTTTATGGCTTACCGCATCCAACCGTCTGTGGTGCGGGCGGCCTTGGCAGTGTATCTCCTGCGTGACCCAGATTATGCCTTGGTGATGGATCCGTCATCTTTCAGGTTTGGGAATTCGTTCTCTTTCTGGGTTCGTTACGAGGTTTCGGAGTCGTCCTGGCTGGCAGACTGTCCTATTTTTGCTTTGGAGGCTTGGCATTCTTTCTGTCATTCCCGCACGCTTGAATGGTGCGAGGTCTTGACGGTGGTTCAGGTTTTCCTGGAGGGCGACCTTGAGCACCTCAATGAGTGCTTGTTTGCTCCTGCCCTTTCCCGGGATGTTGGTGTTCTGCAGCTCCGTGTGCAGGTTCCCTCCCTTTCGGCCGTGCAGGTGGCGGAGGACTTGCGTGCCTGTGGCCTCTTGGCTTCGGCATTGCGCTTCTTTTCCCTCTTGGAGCTGTCTTTGGACTGGCCTGAGGAGGATATCGGGGCGCTATGGGCCATTCCAGGATCCGGTGCCTTGAGCTTGGTGGCGCGCACGCCGTCTGCCTTGTTGAAGCTGTCTGCGCCAATCTTGCGGGATGCGGTTTCCCTGTTCTACACTTCCCGGCTCGCGTGTCGGCAGGCTGTGCTTGCCTCCTTGGAATCGGCCTGGGCTCTGGCCCTTAGGATGTCTTCGCCTTTTTGTCCTTTGCTTTTTGCTCCTTCGGCCGTGGCGCAGTATATTCAGGCTGCTTCGGCCAGCTGCCATTCTATGTCGGACTTGTTGGTTCTCCTGGGGTCCCGGGTGGGGGTGCCTTCCCGGAGAGGTCGTGCGAGGGCTTAGGGTTCCACTCGCCACTGGTGCCAGTTTTGGGTTCAGCTCTGCCTTCGGACCCGCCTTCGTTTGATCGGCGTAGTGTTCACCCTGTGCAAGGTTCTGGGTCTTGTAAGGGGCGCCGGCCCTTTTGCAGTTCACCCCATTGACGGGGCGATGGGGGGGGGGGAGGCTTGCACTGTTCGCTTACGTCTGGTCCCACGATTTGTGGGCGTTTCGGGTTGTTTCCTTCGGCCTGTGGTGGCGTTGTGTGGCTCCTCCTGGTTCGGGGGGTTTGGGGCTGGCGTGGCAGGCCTCTTCTCTTGCGCTCCATAGAGTCATCTCTGAGTGGGTTCGCTTGGTCGTCGTCGAAACGACATCGTCCCTCAGATGGGTTTCCCGTCTGTTTCCAGTGCCGAAACGGGACTGTGCGGACCTGAGGTTCATTCTGGACTTGTCCCATCTGAACCCTTGGGTTCATTTCCCCTCCTTTTGGATGAATATGCTGTCTCAAGTTCGGCTCCTGCTGGAGCCGTGTTCTTGGATGTGTCCCTTGACCTCTGGGACACTTATCAGCACGCCCCGATTCATCCGGGGTGCAGGGACTGGCTCGGTTTTGTTGTGGGGCGTCAAGGTTACCCCTTTCATTGTCTACCTTTCGAGTTGAATCTGGCACCTCGCGTGTTCACATGCCTTATGTGGGTCGTTGTGGCTCGTGTGCGTCTGTTAGGTGTTCGGGTGTTAGCCTTCCTCGACGACTGGCTAGTTTGGGCTCCCAGCCAGTCCGCTTGTCTGCTAGTCAGGAATCTGGTGCTTTCCCAGCTCGCCGGTTTCGGATTCTTGGTGAACTCGAGGAAGTCCCATCTGGTTTCCTCCCAGGTTCGATTGTGGCTGGGTCTTGTGTGGGACTCTGGACCACTTACTTGTCTCTTCTCTGGTTGTGGTCCTGTTTAGAAACAGGCTTGCGCCTGTTTCTAGAGGGCTCCCAGGTCACTCGACGGTTGCTCGAGGGTTTGTGCAGGAGTCTGAACTTCGCGATGATGGTCTACCAACCGGGCCGGGGTTTGGCTTCGTCAGCTGTTCTGGTTCCTTCGGGGTCGTCATTTCCGGTTTTCTCGCGATTGCTGGGTTCCACCCCCGGGGGGCTTTGTGTCGGCTGCTGCATCGCCGGCTTCCTCTTCGGGTTTTTCGGGGTTGAGTGCCTTGGAGCCTACCCGAGACCTAGCTCGATGTGTTCACTGACGCTTCGTCTCTCAGCTGGGGCTTTGTGACCAGTGCTCACCAGGCCGGCCAGAGGCAATGGGATCTGTCCTTCCGTCGAGCCCACAGCACGGTACGGGAATTCGCAGTGGTGTGGTTTGCGCTTTGCAGGGTTTGGGTCGCCCGCGGATCGACGATCCGGCTCCATTCGGACTGCTCCCCAGTGGTTCATTGCAACAGCTGAGGGAGGTTTGATGCGGTTCATTGCAACAGCTGAGGGAGGTTTGATGCGGTCCTTAGCTCTTTGGCGCTTGTCGCTTCGGGTGACTCGTCTGCTGAGTTCTAGGGGTTTGGCCTAGAGTTCGCGGGCGACCTAAGTTCTAGGGGTCCTCATCACCCCGTGGTGGCCGGCCCAG